AGCAAATAAATTTGGAGCTCCTGGTACAGCCATACCAGCACAATGGCTGAGCAGAGAATCTAACCTTAGACTCCGGAGTCATAGTCCAAATTTCAAACTACTAAACAGCACGGGATGTGCTAAATACATGCTGGGTTTCGAAGGGGAAATAGTCCCAGCACCATGGATCACTCATTTAAAGTTTGGGTGAAAATCCAGAGTTGAGTCACATCCCCACTAATAGCATCAAGTCTTGCCTAACCTCTCCCAGACAAAGTGGTTGCCCATCCCAGTTTCCAACAGTGATGGCTTCTCAGGACGACAGTGAACTCACTGCTGGTATTAATTTCCTAAATGAGACTCCAATAAAAAAGCAGCCTCCTCCCTTTCTTTCCTTTAAACTCCTCGTTCTGCAGTCAGAAAACCTCACTTCCAAAGACTACAGCAGCTCAGCATCTCCCTAGAAGAAAGTCAGCAGGAAAATACTTGATATTCCAGGCTCCCTCCTCCCCCAGTTTGGTTGCCTTCTTCTCCCTACTTTTTGTCATGCAGCTGAACTGTTCCCAGGTGCCACTCTGCCTTCCCTGAGCGCCGCAGAGAGTCGACTTCAAGGCAAATGGATTTTTAAAAGACATGCAGCTTTCAGGGCTGGGAGGGAGGCGGGGGGGGGGAGGCTGTGTCAGATCATCATCTCCCTTGCGGCGCTGTAATTTGGACGCGGATGCTCTGGTCCCTCCAAGATGAGGTGTGTCGGATGCAGAAAAGGGGCAATTAGCTCATGCCGCTCCAACGTCAGGAATCAGCCTGAATTAATAAAGCCTTCACCTTGTCATATCTTCCTGCCTTGATCTTGGTGGATGCGTATGTATTGTCAAAGGAGAGGGAACACGTTGCCGGGAAAAGATGACACAAGCCTGTGCAAAATTTCCATGCGTTCATCCACAGGAAGGGATGCAAGCGTAGACACAAAAATGAAAGTCCTTTGAATAGAAGCATAGAGTTGAAAGAACCTGTAAGGGCCATCTAGTCCATCCATAAAGAAAAGCACTCCCCCAAAATGGTCATTCAATCTCAAAGTAAGATCTCTTCCCAAGGAGGAGGCTTTGGCTTTGCTAATAGTGGAAGGAGATGGTGATCAATATTTCCTGATATAACACAATCATAGCACTTCCTTATCTCTGTAGCTTCCATGGTCCATCCTGGAATTCTCTCCTAGACCACTCTGACCAGGGGCGGCTCAACCCATTACGCTAGTGAGGGAATATTTTCCCTCAGTTTTTCATTTGGGAAATGGACATATTGAAATATTAAGCACTGGCCCTATTTGCTTGGCCAGTTACCAATACAGGCTTTCTGTTTGTCTATCATCTATCTATCATCTGATGGAAGTGAACCATAGATTCATATCGGAGGATTTAGCGATTCTAAGCGAAACATTTCAATGAAATCTGCAAAAGTTGAACCTGCAAATGTGAGGGACATTTGCAATTAGTTTTGAGTTCATTTGGCTAGTTTCAAGGCCAAAGGAAAACAAATCTCAAAAGTCATTTTAAAAAAAAAGGGGGGGGGGGGACTGGTGGATCCTAGGGATTTTATCTATGTTTTGGGGTTCAAAGAGCTTGCAGTCCATTTTTGCCTATTTGTGACTTTGAAAAAAAAAATCCCCATCAGGGACTCATGAATCCTGAGAGGGTCTCTGCAAGCCTTGTGTTGTGTTTCCTGGAGGCTGGGTCAGCATTACCATGGAAACGAGGCGACATGGCATGATGTTGCATGATTTCTATGGCAATTCTGACCCATCCCTCTGGTGGGGGGGGGAGGGGACCAACAGAAGGCTGCAGATATTCTTCACAGCTGCTTGATGTTTTGTTTTGCTTTGTTTCTAATGGGGCGGTGGGAGGGAGAGGCAGAGGAACTCTTTGGGGCACTTCATCTCTTTAAGGTAAGTCAGACTCATCTTGCCTAAACCTAAATTTTCCTTGAAAGGGGGAACCAAAATGATGCAGGGATGGAGCAGCTCTCCTAACAGGAAAGGACAACATTTCTGAAGCTGTTTCACACCAATGGAGTTTAACCACCTTGGGTCCCAGTTTTGGAGAGAAGGCAAGGCATCAATGGTAACGGCATAAAAGGATAGTTGCTTAGAAGTAAGGAGAAGCAGGAGAGAGGATAGAGAAGCTGGGTAGTTATGCACTGGAGAAAATAGTATCATAGAAGGACAGAGTTGGAAGAGACCCAAGGGCCACCCAGTCCACCTCCCTTCTGCAATGCAGGAAAATACAATCAAAGTATTTGCAACAGATGGCCATCTAGCCTCTGTTTAAAAACCTCCAAAGAAGGAGACCTTCACCACACTCTACAGCAATCTATTCCACTGTCAAATGGCTTATTACCGTCAACTAATGTTTAGGTGAAATATCTTTTCTTGTCATTTGAATTGCTCACCACATATCTTAGTCTCTGGAGCAGCAGAGAAGAAGTTGCCTCCCTCCTCAATATTACATCTTTTCAGATGTTTAACCACGGCAATCATGTCCCGTCTTAACCTTTTCTTCTTCTTCTTCAGGGTAAACATACCCAGCTCTCGAAGCAGCTCCTCATAGAGCTTGGCTTCCAGGCCTTTTACCATTACAGAATGTTTTTCTCCTTTAGGCATATTCCTAGAACTTGGGCCCATTCTTCCAGAAAGGTAAAAGGAATCATTTCATAACACAGCATACTCGTTATCACAGGATGTAGTCCTACTAGACCATTTTAAAATCGGGATTGGAGACAGTGTGGTGTAGTGTTTTGAGTGTTGGACTACGATTCCAGGAGATCAGGTGTTCTGTCGCACGCTGGGCTTGAAACGAATTGCTTTTAAAACAGGACTTGCAACTTTAGCCCAGCGGGAAGCCAGGGCCCCCGAAGAGAAGTTCTCAGGATTTTCACCATAAACAGTCTCTAGAGGGCTTGTGAAATATAACAAAGTCTTTTATTGGTGAACAATCAACAGAAACTTCTTTTGTCTTCAAAAGGTTAAACAAATGCTTCCAGGCTTTGTGCAACTGGTGGCTTCTAACTGTTACTTTACTCTAAAGGAAAATCCCTTTCCAAACTTTTCCCAGGCTAACTGTGATCCTAAACCTAACTGATGTGGATCCACTACCGGTCTGAACTGCATCTCAAAACCGAGTGGACCTACCAGTAGGCCTGTAGTCACTTAGCTGGAGTTCTTGATGTTTAAAGCTGTTATTCCCTCAGAAATTCCTCGGGGCTGTAAGGCTGTTTCCCTGGGAACCTTTGGGAATCTTTAGATGCTCTTAAGACTGTTCTCCCCCGGGAAGTCTTAAGGGTTGAAGCCTTTGTACAGGAGAAAGTCTGTACACGTCCTGTACATTGACTTCCTTTGCTGAGACTGACTGAAAATGGCTCCCTTTCCTTCTCAATTGTCCTGAACAGGGGGCAGAACCAAACTTAACAATGATGGACAGGGGGCCTGCCCTATAACTGCAAACTTTAACAGGAAGCCACCCTTCTGCAGAATCCCAAGCCTTGGGCTGTAAGCAAACAATACAAAGCAAATAAAGTGGGAGCTTCTGGTACAGCTGTACCAGCACATCAGGATTCAAATCTCTATTTGGGCTTGGAACTCATTGAGAGGTGTTGGCAAAAATCTCTAGAGTAAAGCATGCCAAGAAAATAATAAGATAGGGTGACCAGAAAAAAAAACTAGACAACTTGAAGACACATAGCAACAATAATCGGAAATTGGATAAATTCTTGTAGGATAGGGCTATCAATAGATGTCAGATGCCGACACGTCACTCCCAATATGAGACATAGTATATCTCTGCAGATCAGTTACTGAGGGCTGTGAGATGGAGGGTACAGCTTTGCTGAGGTCTTTTATGGTCACTAGTGGGGCATTTTCTCCCTAAATACCATTTTGGCCACGCCGTGCCACCTAAGTGATGACAATGAGGTACACCCCAACAGCCAATAAGTGTTGGGGTGTAGCTTATTGTCAGATACAGCATGACACCCATATCTGGGGAAAATATGTCCCTGAACATACTGTGGAATGATGAAATCACAGATAATAGTGAATCCTATTGAAATTAATGTCTTCCAGTGTAAGCATACCATAGAAAGGCATTGAAGAATCTAGAAAATGTCTCGAACATTTCTAGATCCTCCAGCAGGAAAGTAGTGGCAGCAAGGAGAACATGCAGCTACCTCTGTGGGCTTCCTCCTCTCTTTTGGGGCTGTGCTGAAGAATAGGTTTCAAAATCCAGTGCAGGGGAACAAAGAGTTACATTCATAACAAAGAGGGTGAGGAGGCAGCCAAGAAGTGTGGTGGAAGCTCCTTACTTGGAAATTTTTAAACAGAGACTGGATGGCCATCTGTCAGGGGCGTCTTGATTGTGCTTTTTCTGCATGGCAGGGGGTTGGGCTAGGTGGCCCATGTGGTCTATCCCAACTCTATGATCCTATGAGTGGAACCTCATGATTCAGTGAAGCTGGTGCCTCCCAGGTCAGTTGGGCAGTGAATCTACCCCAGGTTTTCACTGAGGCTTCAAAGCAGCCCTCCAAAGTGCTAGATAACATGTATACATCCAGTAAATTTAAACCTGCCCAAAAGGTGCAATAGATCCTCTACTCCACTGACATGATGTCCCTCTGCCATTAATGCTTTTGGCACACAAGAGAACATCCCCATCTGTGAAATGGACACAATTCAGGCGAAGAAACCATGGGACAGCCCAAATCCCATTTCAAATCTCAGTGTTTAGCAGGGTTGACTAATGGTGAATCTGACCTGCGTTTTTAAATTTTAAAGAAGATATCAACATCTGCCAGAATCGGAAAAATCAGACTAAAGCTTGGGAGTGCATTCACCACCACACTGACCAGGAAGTCTCTGCTGGAAAGTTGGTGCAGACTTAGTTTTTAGGGTTTAACTGATGCCAAGGAAGAGCAAGAGCACCTTGGTTTTCCTTTCCTGACGAGCCTTCTTCCTCTTCCTTTTTCTCGTCCAGGCGCTCCTTTTCAAAGGTCTCAGCATCCTCATGCTACCTCCTGCCGGCACTTCCACCTGGGCCCCCAGCCACAGATCTCCGCAGACTTCCCCCTGCCTCATGCCGTCCAGCCTCACATGGCAACCGCTCACCAGCACAGCAACCCGCTGCACCCGCCCTTAACGCCTCTGCCTGCCCTGCCATTCCAGGATGTGACGGGACCCTCTTTCCTACCTCAGGCCCTTCACCAGCAATACCTCCTCCAGCAGCAGCTCCTCGAGGCCCAGCACCGCAGACTCATGCCTCATCCCAGGTGAGTCCCCACAGGGTTGCCAGTATTGGGTCATGCCCCAGACCCCAGGGCTTGGGGCTGAAACCTAAGGATTGCCTCTCGTGATGCCATTGAGATTTCTTTAATTATTTATTTAAAACTTTTATATCCCGATCTTCTCTACCTCCGTAGAGGGACTCAGACCAGCTAACAGCAAGAATTCAATGCTAAACAGTAAAAGTCTAAAAACAACATATAACAACAGTAAATTAACAATACATATAAAATAAATATACAAAAGCCGTTCGCCAAGATAAAAACATGTCCAACTCAGTCTGTATGTTCAGTCCATGTATTGTGGTCAATACTTTGATCGATTATCAGTCTCACCCATCATTCTGCAAAGGCCTCATTCCACAGCCAGGTTTTCACTAGCTTCCTAAAGATCAGGAGGGAGGGGGCAGATCTAATTTCCTTCAGGAGGGAATTCCATAGCCGGGGGGCCACCACAGAAAAGGCCCTGTCTCTTGTCCCCACCGACCGCCAATCACACTTGCTCACAACTTGTAATGGGAACACACACACATAGAATAAATTTTACACAAATCTAGAAAAATCCTGGATTGACTTATTCACAGGTCAATGCTTAACTCTTATCAAGTCAACCCTTAACTCTTATTAGGAAATGAATAATCCAGTTCTCTGGATGGAATGGTGAAGGGTTAGTTACTCCTGGGAAAATCTGAAAGATGCACAGACTCCTTTACTCTCTGCCATAGCAGTAATTCTGGCCTTTTTGAATACTTGGATGAGAAAATGTGTGGAAACAGCAGGATTGGCTGGTCTCTTGAGACAACATTGGTGCTTTCCCCTTCCCATGAAATGGCCCTTGATTTATCCACAAGTCATATCAAAATCCAAACTTTTGGCCCCCAAACCTGCCCTTGACTTATACATGAGGCCAACTTATTCATGGGTATATAGCAGACATGGGCAAACTTCGGCCCTCCGGGTGTTTTGGACTTCAACTCCCACAATTCCCAACAATCATACGTTCGAAATAACCTAAAAACACAAAACAATACAAAGAATTTAATTTCCATAAAGCTCAATATTTCTTTCCCCCGTAAGGGTTCATCCCAGGTAAGCAAAGTGACAAGGGAACTCTCCAAGGTTCTGAATTCCCAAGCCCTTACACCTGAGTCTTCTGATATGAAGGCCTCTTGCAAGAATTCTAGGTTCCCAGGAGTTTAGAAATCTTGGTGGAACTTGGGACTCCTGCTACAGAACTCTTCTTGCAAGACATTTATGGCTTTATATAGACCTGCTTCTTGTGCTGCTTGCCTGAGATGCCTGTAAAGCTTGAAGGAAGACGAGTGGGTGGCAGCTATCGATTAACCCCCACAGCATGTGGTATGTAGTTTGAGGCCATTTTGCTATATACCTATTCTGAGGTGGATTTGTTGTGAGCACAGCTGGCACCTGATCTTCATGCCTTCATTGGATTAAAAGTGCAGTCTCAGATACTATATTATCAAGGTAGCTACAATGATGGAGCTCTGTACTTGGACTTATGACAGAAGATACCACCCCAAAATAGTCAACCTTTGTAACTTGGCAGCACCTTGAGATGCTGCCATTCTGGGTGATGGAAAAAAATCTTTAGTACTTTCCTGGTTGGGTGCACCAAGAGCAAGCACCAGGAGAGATAACTCATGGCCTTGCCACAACCACAGAACACATAGAGTCCCTATGCCCGGATGTGCAAAGCTTTAGAAACACATTCATTGAAGTGCTGCCAGCCTGCAAAGATAGTTTTTTGGGATCATGTCTTTGTCTGCTTCATGATAAAAAAGGTGGGCTAAAGATAGAGTAAGACATCTGTATTCATGGGAGATATATTCCTTGCTGGTCTGAGGTTATCCAAAATCATTGATATGACTCAGTGCCATTAAATTATATCAACATGTTATAGAGTTGCCTTAGCGGGCCTAGAGATTCCTAGAGAGGTGTTCTCACTAGGAATTTGCTAACTCCGCCAACCAAAGTCTGTGGTAACTTTTAGGGGAAGTACACCTGGAAGACCTAGCAAATTCCTAGAGTAGTCTCTGAGCACAGGTAAGTGAAACAGTGGATATGGGTTCTCCAGTTATGAGGGTCTTACAGTATTTAAATAAGTAATAAATGCTGATGTAAAGTAGGAGTATTATTGTACAGTCCTCTAGGTATTGTTGAATTGCAGCTCCCAGAATTCTTCAAAACTCTGCCGGCTAGGACTGCTGGAAGTTGCAGTCAAACAACATCTGGAAAGCTTCCTGATTCCCAAACCTGTTTTAGACAAGTAGGATGAACTGGCGTAAGATGGCTTCCTATACTCTCAGAATATCAGGGTCCATCCAATATCAGGGTCCACCAAGCAGAGACATCTCCAGCACATCCCCTGTTTGGGTATCAGCCAGCACGTCAACAACTTAAATCAAAAAATAGTTTTCTAAGATCTACAGAGACACTCGCTGGAACACCTCAGCAAGCGAGAGTCCAAAAGTGGCAGGCTCAAACCCAGAACCTAAATCAATGGCTGATACCAAATGAGAGACTCCCCCCTGGGCACACAGAAGACTGGGCGACTTGGAAGGCGCTGAACAGACTGCGCTCTGGCACCACAAGATGCAGAGCCAACCTTCAGAAATGGGACCACAAAGCGCTGAACCGACTGCGCTCTGGCACCACGAGATGCAGAGCCAACCTTCAGAAATGGGGCTACAAAGTGGAATCCACGACATGTGAGTGTGGAGAGGGGCAAACCACTGACCACCTGCTGCAATGCAACCTGAGCCCTGCCACATGCACAATGGAGGACCTTCTTGCAGCAACACCAGAAGCACTCCAAGTGGCCAGATACTGGTCAAAGGACATTTAATCAACTACCAAACTCACAAATTTTGTATTCTGTCTGTTTGTTTGCTTTGTTCTGTTAGAAATGTAATATAATTGACTGGTTGCCCTGACACGACAAATAAATAATCTGCTTTGAACTTATCCCAGAATATCAAGGCAGAAAATCCCACAATATCTGCTTTGAACTGGGTAATCTGAGTCCACACCAACATATATTCCAGTTCAAAGCATATAATGTGGGATTTTATTCAGCTGTGTGGAAGGGGCCTTAGTCTCACCCCATGTCATCCGCAGTCAATGATCAACTTGAACTAGAGTTATTATTAGTGTTGTCTTGAGGCAGAATTCCAAACTGCAGAATTCCAAACTGCTTGGCTGAGTTTCTTTCTTGCATGGCAGCTCCCCAGATCCCCCAAACCAGTGTGTACTGATCATGTTGGCTGGAGGATTCTGGAATATGTAGTCCAAAAATCTCACTTGTCCAAACTCCGGCCTTCACTCCTATTTCTTCTCCATTATTGCAGGCGGACTCAGGAGCGCATGTCTGTCCAACCTCATCGGTTACATCCAAGCTTTGAATTTGGCCATCAACTCCAGACTCCTCAACCCGTGGGACCCCAGCCCAGATACTTAGCTGAAGGAACAGACTGGTAAGACAGTCCTTACTTGGAAAAACTGGGCATGATACAATGTTTGTCTAAAGAGTTTTCTGACTACTACTACTATGGTTCCTCTGAGTATGAAAGGACTGGCAATTATTGTAAAGTGGAAGAACTCATATGTTGAGAGCAGCTACAGAGAATGTATAAAGATGATGAGTAATGTCCAAAATACATTTTATTTGTTTTTGACTACATGGGAAGAACAACAACTTCAAGTGCAGAAAGACAAATGCTAAGAATTGAGGTTGGAGGTGGATGAATTCTGTTCAGTTTAGGAACCCCAAGTGTCTTTCTCAAATAGGTGAACTGGACCAGTCTGTCTCTAAAGACAGTCAAGGGTACCCCCCCCCCCCGTCCCTAATTAGATTTATTTATTTATTATTTGCCTTTCTGTATCCCGAGGGGAACTCAGATATTGGCAGCCATGTTTGTTCTTAATCTATCTGTCATATTCAAAACATTGCATTTAATGTTGACTTATGCAAACTACTTCACCTGTGTGAACTTTCTACTGAAAAGTAGACCATTGTTTGAATAGGGGGCAGGCTCATGAGTGAACATCATGGCTGGATTTCACATCCAGTTCCTCAATCACAGGTTCCTTATGTTCTTCTATAGTTTAGCACTGGGCAGCAGGAGCTTCAATAGCAAGTGGAGCTTTTGTCACCTGGATGTTTTAGATTTCAACTCCCATAAGCTAGCATGATGAAAGGGAACTCAGCTGGAATTTGGCCATGAGACTTGTAAGCCAATATGTCTGGAAGAGCAAAAGTTTCCACTCTTTGTTCTGTGACCATCTGGCAGGACATTTCTAACCTTTTGTGCTTGCTCATTATAAATGTACTTTTTAGACCCTTCTGGTTCTGTCCTATGCTAACCAGGCTCATGTGGGTGGAGATTGACATGAGAAGAAATGGGCACTTTGCTGATACACACCAAAATTTGAGGGCTGGGGCAAATTGATATAAAATATTATTTTAGCATAAACTGGATAATCATCTCTTTGCCTCCAGAACTCTGCACACACACACACACACACACACACACATGCACATACACACAGACACACCATTGCTCAACATTCATGGCTTGCTCATTTGGATGATTACAACAAAGGTATAAAATGTAGAAGCATAAGAAAAAAAATGGCAATTTTGCACCAACTCATAGCACATATAGTCAGGAAAGAAGATAAATTCAATGCTTGACACCATTTATGGAGCCATAACTTTCCCTAGAAGCCAAGATGACTCAGCTTGAGGCAGTTATGCTTTGGCCATATCATGAGATGGCATGACTCACTAGAAATGATGATAATGCTCAATGAAATGGAAGGCAGTAGGAAATTGGGAAGATTATATTCAACAGACTCAATGAAGGAAGCCACTATCTTTAGTCTCATCAGAGCTATTGAGGATAGAGTGATTTGAAGGTGTCTCATACATAGGAATGCCATAAGTAGAAGTCATGTCAATGGCAGCTAACAATAACAAAGCAGAGTTATGATCTGGTAACTTTTGGGATTCAGTATTACAATATTTAATAAACAAACTACCTCTTAATTCAGGCAGTGTCCCAACCAAAAGGTTTCTAAGGTTCTTCAAACCTCTCAGTAGCAGGGTTTGTTGAGACAATCAGCTGCAGCACAACATGAAGGATCTCTCCATCTCAATGAGCCTAATGAGTGGAAGAATGCTGCAGTTTTCATTTTTTAGCATCATGATCTGCAGCATCTCAGATGCCCACCTGTTGGGGCATTGTCTGGCTTAGGATATGAATTTTGGGAAAATTGTATCAACAGAAGTAGCTATTACAATGAAATCTGTTGTCACCACTGTGCCTGATAATACTGGATCTTGGCCTATAGTCAACAACAGATCACTACAAAATGAGTAACAATATGAAAATAAGGGGATTTGAAAACCAGGGTGATGTCTCCATCAGTCTTAATATGTGGTTTTGGTTTCATCCTTCCAGGGACCTCAGCGTTGATGCTGGCTTGACTCACAACCAGTTCCAGGTCAGGCCTGTTCCACAGCATTATCAGCATTATTTAGCTACGCAAAGGATGCATCACTTTCCACGAAACACATCATCAACACAAATGGTAAGCAAAGAGGGAGGTTCGAAGGGGTGGTTCTAAGGGGAAGGTTCTAAGTGACAGTTTTAAGTCAGGATGGACTATCTAACCCCTCCCCCCAAAAGTTGTCAAAAAACATCTAGGAACGTTTCAAATCAATGCTGGACTGTCACTGATAAAGAGGAATCCTTTCTTCATATGTAGTGGACTTATAAGAAAGTGAAAAGTTATTGATCTAAGACTTACAACGTCACTAAAAAAATTTTTGTTGGGTGCTCTGCACACAGAATTGGATAGTAAATATGGAATACCTTTGTGTTATATGGCAAGAGCTGCCAAGAACACTCTTTGCTCAGGCAGGGCTTGAATTGATGGGAGATCTAGTTCTTTTGTGGCAATGGACAGCAAACAAACACAGAGCCCAGAGAGACCTGCTGCAACCCACAGCAGTGGTGGCCTTGTGGCTTTTCACAACATTGGAAAGGAGTGCTTGTGGTTCAAGCAGGGCTTGAATTGATGAGAGATGTAGTGTTTTTGTACCAATGTACAGCAAACAAACACAGAGCCCAGAGAGACCTGCTGCAACCCACAGCAGTGGTGGCCTTGTGGCTTTTCACAACATTGGAAAGGAGTGTTTGTGGTCCAAGCAGGGCTTGAATTGATGAGAGATGTAGTGTTTTTGTGCCAATGTACAGCAAACAAASAAACAAACACAGAGCMCAGAGAGACCTGCTGCAACCCACAGCAGTGGTAGCCTTGTGGCTTTTCACAACATTGGAAAGGAGTGTTTGTGGTCCAAGCAGGGCTTGAATTGATGGGAGATGTAGTGTTTTTGTACCAATGTACAGCAAACAAACACAGAGCACAGAGAGACCTGTTGCAACCCACAGCAGTGGTAGCCTAGTGGCTATTCACAACATTGTTGTGGTCCAAGCAGGGCTTGAATTGATGGGAGATGTAGTGTTTTTGTGTCAATGTACAGCAAACAAACAAACAAACACAGAACACAGAGAGACCTGCTGCAACCCACAGCAGTGGTAGCCTGGTGGCTTTTAAGAACTTTGGAAAGGAGTGTTTGTAATCCAAGCATTGAGGATAGAAAAATAGGTAGTTAAGTCCAAATTGCCAAATATTTGAAATATTGGAAACCCTTTGTGGATATCCTGAGCAATAAGAAATCTATTGTTGTGTGGACATCAGGACAGAAAATTAAGATTAATGTTTCCACCTTGTGGAACTCCACTTGGGATGGAAACAATGGCAGATATTTAACCAGATGGAGATAAGATCTGCTCAGTATCTTCCTGGATCAAAGCAAAATCTAACGGATAACTTGAAACAGCCTCTTAAATCAGCAGTTTTTGTGCAAAATGAAAAAGCTGTTAGTGATACCATTTGGGGGAGCCAGAGATTGGCACCCTCCATTGTTGTGTATCTGGAGAACTAGTAAACAGCTCTCTAATGGACCCCAGATCTTTTCTGTCTTTATATAATTTCCACTTTTCTATTTCACTTATTAACACTTGCAAATAAAGGGATCTTGAACCTAGTTGTGAACTGGTTTTGGTAAGCTATCATCTATCTGAAATAAAGGCAGGAAGTTCAACTAGTACTGAAAGTAGCAAAGCAATAAAACAATAAATTGGAAGCAATAAAATTTGCATCAAATTGAAGGGTTAGCAACAATCACAGTTGAAGGGTTTATTGACTCTTTTACACCAGATTTTAGTAATTTGGATTTATTGATTTTGGATTACAAAATGGAGATAATGCGAGAAGCTGTACTTGTTTGATAATAAGAGACAGTGGACTGGACAAAGCCATGAAACACTGAAGCTGGATATTATTTGCCGGGCACTTTAATGGTGGATAATGTCTGCCTTACAAGGGAAGGATGAAGCAGAAACAGCTCTTTATTGACTCGTGACTCAGGAAGCAAGAAAAATAAGAAGAGTGCATTATTTTTCAATATCTTTATTAAAATCTTTTAGAGGAGATATGTGGGATTAAAAAAAAATACTTGAACAAGCTGGGGTGTACACAGATGATGAAGAAGCTGAGATGAACCAACCATCGGAATACTTGAGCTGTGTCTACACTGACTAGTAAATCCGGAACAGGTCCAGATCAGAAATGCTCCAGAGTGGCCTTGCAAGTGGCATACACACTCTCATTAACCTGCTGCTGCATCACATTCACCTTCTGTGTTGGCATTAAAATATATTTTATAGATATACATTTCAATATATAGCTTTTATAGAAATACATTTTTATATGTGTATTTGTAGTATTTTCACAATCAGGAGAGAATGTTTCTAGAACATGGCCATACAGCCCGAAAAACCTACAACAATCCAGTGATTCTGGCCATGAAAGCCTTCGATAATATATTATTTTCACAATGTTAATGTGTTTCAATTATTCTGTAACCCACTTTGAGCCACAAGGAGAGGCGGGTAAGAAATAAAATTATTGTTATTGTTACCATTATTATATTATTATCTGATAGTGCCTTGGACTGCCAGAAGATCCAACCAGTCCATACTTCAGGAAATATTTATTTATTTATTTATTTATTTACTGTTCTTGTATACCGCTGTATCTCAAGCCTGAGGGCGACTCACAGCGGTTTCCAAACAGCAAAGACAATAAAAACAGCAATAATTAATATACAATAACAGTTACATTACACATTTCCATTAATAACTAATAAGCAATCATCAATACACAGTTATCACAAATCCCAACCCTGATCGCCTCATCATCCAAGCATGATCCAAATTCGTCGTCCATTGTTCCGTTCCTATGTTCAATTTACCAAAATTGCACTGAATTACTCAAACGCCTGCACAAACATCCAGGTCTTCAACTTTCTACGGAATGTCATGAGAGATGGTGCCAGCCTAACGTCTACAGGAAGGGCGTTCCACAGCCGAGGAGCCACCACAGGAAATAAAGCCTGACTGCTCATTGGAGGGAAGGATAGTAGAGGCAAAGATGAAGTACTTTGGCCATGTCCTGTTTTGCTCTTAAAAAACAGCCTCAATACAAAATTGAAAGTAAAAGAAAAATGCTTTATTCCAGCAAACAAAATGAGCAAATGCAATTGAAAAAGAAAACAAGAAAGTCTTACTACAGACACCAATGAAAGTCTTTTGCAAAAGTCCCAGCAAAATCAGCAGACAATAAGGCACAGATCACTAAGTCTTTAACACAAAGCAGGTCCCGACAGTAACAGAGTTGTTGTTAGCAGCGAAAAGCTAAGTTCTCCTGCTTCTGATTTATACCCCATGCAGGAGGGCTTAGGGCGTTACCCAAATAGCTCATCAATCTTTTAGCAGCTAATAGAGCTGATTGCCACCTGTTCTCTGACTCCTTCTGCCTTTCTACAAAAGTAGGCACCTGCAAAACCTCATTGTCGGATTCTTCTTCCTCTCCCTCCAAGACCTGAGCACCTCCCTGTTCGCCTTCCTCTTCTGACTGAGGAATCCTCAACAGGCCACATCATGAGAAGACAGGAAAGCTTAGAGAAGACAATTATGCTGGGGAAAATGGAAGGAAAAAGGAAGAGGGGCTGACCAAGGGCAAGATGGATGGATCGTATCCTTGAAGGAGGTTACGATCCTCCTTCGTATGGCTTGTGACTGGCCGACAGGGAGCTCTGGCGGTTGGTCCATGTGGTCACGAAGAGTCGAAAATGATTGAAAGAATGAACAACAAACTATTATTATTATTAATTATTATTATTATTACCTGATGACATTAGCAGAGGTGCCTATGTGACCAAGAAGAAGGAGGGAGCTGATCCCCCTTCCTTCTTCCTGGTGGTGCCAGCACCTCTGCTGAGAGGCATCTGTCAAGTACCTCACCCCAGAATCACCATCAGAGGAGACATATAGTCCGAGGTTAGCCAATTAATTCTCAACAATAATAAAATTTCAAGGAACAAGCAGAAGAGTAGCCAATTCAGTCATCATTCAATCCAATTACCAAGCTTCCAGCTGATGAAACTGTCCCCAGGTCTCTAGAGCACAGGATTCAAGGCATGACTTCAAACATTGCAACCAGTAATCAGGCAGTACATTGCAAAGCCTTAAAGGCTGTTTTCACAGCTGATCTCGATTTCTGGCCATCCTCTTAGTGATTCTGACTGAATGCCTGAGCTGAGATTTTTCTCTTCTACCTTCCAAAAGAGGAAGGTGTCATTAACCCCTCCTCAGCCTGCTCCAGCAAACCCTCTTGTGTTTGGCCAACAGGATGAGCAGTTGTTGCTCCTGGTTGTGGCTGAGGGAGTTGCTGTTCTTGGTTGGGCTCTAGTTCCATAGCTAAACCTTCATCCATGCTGTCCATTACACCAACCATGGTGGTGACATGGGCACGATCCAGCCCCCTTGTTTCAGCGTGCCTTCCCAGAATAAGGAAACTCCCAGCAATATGTCCCTAAATGCTCTTTATTAGTGATTTATGATTGTCTGCACACTCATCCCTCTTCAAAAACTTCTATCTCAGTTCCATGTCACCTTGTCATGCCCAGCATTATTTTTTTAAAAAAAATAATTATTACATTTGACCCAGCCATAGGTTTTTAAATGTTGTATGTTATTGTTTATTGTCTTCTGTGTATTTTTGGTTTATGAGATTTATTTCAACTGTTTTGTATTGATTATTTGTTATTGCCTTCGTTTATTGATGTACTGCAGGCTTGGCATCATATAAGCCGCACCGAGTCCCTTGGGGAGATGATAGCGGGGAAGTAGCAGCCAATAGTGAAAGGACCAAGGCAGAGACATCTCTAGCTCATCCCCTGTTTGGGTATCAGCCAGCACGTCAACGACTTAAATCTAGAAATAGTTTTCTAAGATCTACAGAGACACTCGCTGTAACACCTCAGCAAGCGAGAGTCCAAAAGTGGCAGGCTCAAACCCAGAACCTCAACCAATGGCTGATACCAAATGAGAGACTCCCCTGGGCACACAGAAGACTGGGCGACTTGGAAGGCACTGAACAGACTGCGCTCTGGCACCACG